CTGAAAAACAAGAGGAGAAACAATTGTGAAGCAAATAGAATACACACACACACACACACACACACACACACACAGAGTTGACATAATAAACATGAATGCGACTCAGGACGTGATCAAGCTTTGTGGAAATCTCATGGCTCTAAAGCTCTGTGCTTTTTGTAGTGTCAGACATCTGTAACGAGCTGCATCGTATTCATCCAGACGAAATTCATCCGATCTAAAGCAGTTTTAGGCTATATAGCAATTATAGGCTTCTCATGAGGATGAATGGAAAACTAAATCAAATTAGATTCATAATCAGCAACACCAAAACATCACAGCTGAGTGCGGAGAACACCAAAAAAAAGATTATTGCTACAGAAATAAGACGAGAGGAGAGTAAAACGGTTATCTGATTGAGTCTGATGGGAACAGCTTAATTAGCTTATTTCATCACAATGCTGCTGTTTGCTTCTGGGAAAGCAGATTTGAATAAAAGCACGAGTTCTTCAAGGTTTCTCCAGATCTTCTACAGTTGTTTACTTGTTACGCACAAGTTTAACTATAAGAGTCTTTATTAACCAGAACACTTTGGCACTTTACCAGATTTACACCCATTTCATTAGATCAGTGTATGAAAAATATCAAAAACACCAATGAAATTAATTAATTCTCAATCAGTTTTGGGCTGAAAATGTTTCATACAGTTAAAGGACCAAGATGTTGCATCTCTATGGACTTTGATGGATTTTTGTCTTATTTTCTTGGAAACCAGGCCCTTCAGACACTGCCTCTGTCAACTTTTTGAACACAAACAGTACAATAATGATCAAGTGCAAAGTACTGGACAGATATGGATCGGGAGCAAAAACATGAAAGGTTTTAAACTCAAGTTTAAGTTGCAATTTGGTGGTTAAAGTGAACCCAAACTCTTTGTTAAGGTTTGTTAAATAAACTCGATATTTACGGCAGGTAGTTTTTTTAACTTTACGCTAGAGCTTTAACGTTGATCTCAGTGATTGTTGGGTTAGAAGCTTGACCAGTTTGGTATTTGACACCACTCTGCAGCCCTCTGCTGACGAAAAACCACACTAGACACTTTTGTGGAGCGGGTAGGTGTCCTAGGGGGAGCTCTTGATCTGCTTTACGGCTGTTAGCTGTAATGCTGGCGGTTAGCATTTTCAGTTCAACAGTAATCAATAAAAAGCACAAGAAGAAGAAAAAGAGGTTTGCTGTTTCTGTTGGCATCATGGGGGAGCCCAAAAGTAAGAAAGTAATGTCTTTGGAGGTGAAACAAACAGCAAAAACCAGAATGAACATCAGCGCGGCCTACGCTAGTTTAAGGAAGCTAAAGGAGGCTACACAATCACGGACTGATGGTGACCTGGCTTTGTTGCTACTGGACTTGTAAGTAATATTTTTTTGCCCAACGGTATGGATATTTTTACTTTAGTATTAGTTGGTTTATGTTAGTGTTCGCTTATTGTTAGCTACAAGCTGGCTGCAGCAGGGTGGTTCATGACAGTTGTAATTCTGCTTTTAACCAGAAGGGCGGAGGAGCAGGAAACTGCTCTGTTACTTTAAGTTCATGAGAATCTAATGATGCTTTCGCATCTTTTGAATTTGCAAGAAAAACTTATCGATTGTTTTTAGCCAACAGAGAAACTAACAAAATCCCGAGGATTTTGCAGTAGTTGAACATTTGCAGATGTTCTGGATGAGAACCATGGCAACCAAGCCAAGGTAACGGGTATAATGAAATACAACAGGTGGTGTTTGTCTTCACACAGTTTGGTTTCCACTCAAAGCCAGAGGTATCGACACAAGCTGCAGCCGTTCTGCTGACAAGCTGAAGGACCGACGGTTGAAAGACATGAATTGTAGGCGTTGCTCCTCTTTGCTGCGGTTTCTTCTCTCACTCTGGGTGCTTTGCATTCACCGCAGATGCACTGGCACCCCCACTCCGACACACACGTGGGTAGACCATGCACAAATGCATTGACCGTGCAAATTTATGCACAGGTGAAGTGCTTTGTTTTCATATGCACAATTGGATACGACAAGTACATTTAAACAGAAAAAAAAACACCCAAATGAATGAATCAATATGAGCTAGAAGCAAGGTAACGCTAGAGGGCCAAGTCCAAACAGCTGCACTCTGAAAGCAAACACTGACCTGCACTGTTAACCATTGCTAACCATCTATCTGGCGTCAGATTAGCTGCTTACTCATCAAACTCTGTTTGGCTTTCGGTCGAGCCGCTAGCAGCCACAACCACCTCTCCCCTGAGCTTCACTGCCCCGCTGACATCGGCTAAGAGCTGAAAAGAGGCTTCAGTTTCCTACAGGGAGGACACCGATGCTCCAGGAGTCACCTTTCAAGTAGGAGGTGAAAAAAAGAAAGCATTTGGAGAAGTGCCTAACAACAAGTAGCCAAAGGAAAAAATAACATAATAAATACATTTTGCATCATTGCATTGTTCCAAGATCCCTCCGGCGTTTGCAATATGAATTATATGATTTCTAAACGTGGCAACAAATGTACATTTTAGAGGCAAGTACTTTTTATTCCAACACTGCATCATGTGTCTTTGATTTCTACCCAGCGGCTCTAGGAATCTCTCAAAGAAGGCTTAAAAGGCAGAAAGAGAGCACAGCTGAATGGAAACACGCTGAGTGCTATCAGTAAGGCTGCTGCCAGCTGGGAGAAAAACGCACCGCAGAGCTTGACCGAGCTCTTTGTCCACCTGATCCTGAACAATGTTGGATTTTTTCCCCCTGAAAAGAAGAAAAAATATCATATCTGAACTTCAGGGGGGGGACATGTTTCAAGTTTGTCCGAATAAAAAAAACAGCAAGCATCCAGAAAATTCCAGCTGGTAAATACTTCACGCGTGTTTTGATAAAAGGCGACCAGAAGGCAGGAGTGTGGCTGCAGGGCAAACCGGACTGAAAGCTTCGATTTGTTTTTTAGAAATCATAAGTTAGATTTTTAAACATCTTTCCTGTTTAACTTTGTGTCATTTAACTTTAGAAGTGAAACAACCTTAACTTAAAACAAAATACCAAAATACCAATATATGAAAATTCTTGAAATTTTTGATATTTTAAGGAAAAAAAACATCCACATCAATGGAAGGATTTTAATGCTAACACTAGCTAAGTTTATTTGACATGGAATGCGCTACTACTAGTTTACCTATTGAATTAATTATAGATTCACTAAGAAAAAAAGAATAAAGTTTATCTCTCACTAGACAGACAGACAGACAGACAGACAGACAGACAGACAGACAGACAGACAGACAGACAGACAGACAGACAGACAGACAGACAGACAGACAGACAGACAGACAGACAGACAGACAGACAGACAGACAGACAGATAGACAGATAGATAGATAGATAGATAGATAGATAGATAGATAGATAGATAGATAGATAGATAGATAGATAGATAGATAGATAGATAGATAGATAGATAGATAGATAGAGATAAACTTTATTGTCCACTTCGGATTGAGGCAGAAATTCGCCTTTGACATGGCTCACCTTACAATACAATCCATATCGCATTCACACAAATATATAAAAACAATTAAAAGGTATTAAAATGTTATCATCGTAAAAAAAGTAAAACTTTAAGAATTCAAAATTGTAATTGCGGTGGGAACAAACGATTTCTTATAGACACCTTTCTTGGCCAATGGAACCCTGAGCCTCCTTCCTGATGGAAGTAACTGAAAATGTGGGTTCATAGATGGGTTGAGTCTGCACTGATCAGGGTAGCCTTCCTGTGCACTGCTCGCTCGTGAAGAACAGAAAGTGGGATCTGAGGTGAGCCTGTAATTTTGCTGCCTAATTTAACAATGCGAGAGAGTTGTGTTTTGTTTTTAACTGTAAGAAAGTTACACCAAGCTGTGATATTGAAAGTTAGAATGGATTCAATCAGTGATTTGTATACAATTGTTAGGATGTCCTTGTTCACACTGAGTGCTCTTAGCTTCCTTAGCAAGTGGAGTCTTTGCAGCGCTTTCTTGTTGACACTGTTGCTGTGATTTGCAAAGGACAGGTGGTCATCAATTTCTGTTCCCAGACACCTGAATGACTGAACCTGCTCCACAGGCTCACCCTGTATGCTGAGGGGTTCGAACAGGGATGTGTCTGCCTCACAATACTTACTAGGAAATCACAATGTAGCCATAGAAACACTACTTGGTATATGTGTTGTGTGTGTGTGTGTGTGTGTGTGTGTGTGTGTGTGTGTGTGTGTGTGTGTGTGTGTGTGTGTGTGTGTGTGTGTGTGTGTGTGTGTGTGTGTGTGTGTGTGTGTGTGTGTGTGTGTGTGTGTTCTGTCTTCTCCATCCCCAGTGAGTCGTGGAGGATGGCTGCTTATACTGAGCCAGGATCCTCTGGAGGTTTCGTTAAAAGGGAGACTTCCTCTCCACTGTCGCTAAATGCTTGCTTAGTATGAGGATTGCTGTAAAGACTCTGACACTAGTCAGTGACTCGATGCAACCTGCTGGGTTCCTTAAATAGGAAACTTTTTACTGATTGGCTTAAGACGACTCTTGTTGTGATTTGGCGCTTTATAAATAAACTTGAATTGAATTGAATAGTCTGTGCTTAGTACCAATGAGTTCATAAATCAGGAAAAGTGTTAAATCTTTAATTGCTGTTAGGCAATTGGCCAAGAAATCACAGAATCCAGTTTTTCTTTACAGATTGGCTGATCCCTGGTTAAGCTGGTCATGCCAATCACCAACAACGTCCCAATTCTCAAAGAGAGATTCTTGCTATTTTGAAGTGCATTCAATAAAGTACTATCTCATCATTATGCTCGTCTCAGAACTTACAGGTGATTTTACCTGACCTTCACAGTATGCACATGTCTCCATTTCCTTGGGCTGTCCCAAAAGGACCATTTTCTGAGACATTGAGGGACCAACCGAGGACCTGAACTGGGGAATGTTTCCTAAATTGCACTTTAATAATGCACATTGTTATGATCTGGCTCCTGG